GAAAACCTCAAAGACCTACAGAGGTCAAGTCGTTATTCTCAATTGTTCTCCACCTACAATGAGAAATGTCCCTATTCTTCTGCACTCAAGTTCTTTTTCTTTGATGAGTGTTCAATTACCAGCCCAAACTCACTGAGATGTCATCTTGTCACTTCCTGTTGGAACTAACAAATTTCTTGTCATCTAAGATGCCATCAATAGTAGAAAGCACAATTGCTTGAAAATCAGATTTTCAGGGTAAAAGAAATCATTTTTTAAAATACAGTAAATGTAAAAGTTCCCAACATTTGGAAAATTATCCTAACATTAGGAATGCCAATGTGAGGAGAAAAAATATGCCCTAGAAACAAGAAAATGTATCACTTTATTACTGATTGTCTATAACTCTTTTAGCAGTTAATTTTTTTTAATCATAGACTGTTTTAGCTGGAATAAACCTTACAAATACTTTATCTAACTCTCGCCTTGGTCTAGTGAAGAAATGGAAGCCCAGGAGGTGACACATTTCTGAGGCTACAGAACTAGTTAGTTGAGAATGGGGACTTTATTCCTTGACTCCTGGTTTTACTATCATTGCTCTCTCCATCAGTTACCAGACAAAGGTTCTAATCAAGTTTCAGGTTACTACATTAGAACTTGCATACTCTTCCTGAAGGTCCATTTCATCATATGTAAAATGCCTGGGGTGGGAGATGGTAACAATACTTAACCCCTAGCTTATTGTGAAGTACATCTACTGTGAGAGGCATAATAAATCATGGTTATTATTATCAGACAATGCAGTTATATTTTCAAGATGCATATGTTTTCTTCATCTAGTTGGACTGCATACTTCTTTTTACTTAACAGTAAAAACCATGCTCTCATTGCGTACCTAAAAGCTCAAAAGTATGTGTTGTTTAAATAATTGAAGCTCCTACTAAATCTGAATTATCAGGTCCTCATCATTTTTAGATGCTTAATTTAACAAACATTAATTGGCCTTCATGTGTATCAAGCCTTATGTTTGATGCTAATGAGCAATACTGCAGTCACAGAGCTGCTTTTGCTAGATTCCCTATGAAGCATCATAACATGAAAAAAGTAGGGGAAAGAGAGGCCCTACATATGTAGAGTAGATACTTAGCCTGAAGCCTTGGCATCCGCAGAGAAGTAGCCCAGCCCAGAAATGAAGCTAGATGACATAACAGCTACCAATTAATCACCATAGTTATCTTCAAAACACTTAGGAGAACAGTCTTTCCAATTTAGCAACACATAACTTAATTCAACAATGGCATTCAAACTAACTTCATTTCTGTCACTTTCCCTTCCCAGGCCAGGTCCAAAATATATGTTAGGGCCATTTTTCATTACTTCCCTTCTCTTACCATCTGCAAATGACAGTGCCAAAGCATCATCTGATCAAAAAAACACCAAAATAATGTATTTCATATTTTAAAGCTCTAACTCCAAACATTACATCATTTAACCTCAGATTATTAATATACATCAAAAACCAGAGCCAGTTTCTTCTGGGAAAACACTACCATCTACTCAGAACTGAAAACACATAACTTTCATGTGATTGCTTTCTTCTTGCCCATCACACCATATGACACTTGGTAATTGATCCATATAAAACCTTCTCAAGAGAGAAAATGCAGGAGTAATTTCCATAAAATATCAACAAATTGCTTTTATTTTGGTACCACTGATCTCACTCCCCTGGTCAAACAGGAATCTGGTTAGTTCCTGAGAAAATCTATGTCTTTGTGAATGGACAACCCCTTTGGAAGATTTTGTTTGTCCACCTTCAAGCATGCTGAGACAAGTGTACAGGGTATATTTCAACCATGAATGTAGATTTTGGAAACGTTACATCTTTTACAGTCCAATCAGGAAAAAAGATGGATGGTCCTCAAACACACACTAAACTTAATGCTAAAAGCGCTTTTGTTGGTGGTAGTTTTTTGTTGTTGGTTTGAGACAGGGTCTCACTCCACTGTACTTCAACCTGTCACCCAGGCTGGAGTGCAGTGGCATGACCATCGCTTACTGCAGCCTTAACCTCCTGTGCTCAAGCGATCCCCCTGCCTCTGCCTCCAGAGTAGCTGGGACTACAAGCACTTGCCACCATGTCCCACTAATTTGTTTATTTTCTGTAGACACAGGGTCTCACCATGTTGCCAGGGCTGGTCTCGAACTCCTGGGCTCAAGTGATCCTCCCACCTTGGCCTCTCAATGTTCTGGGATTATAGGCATAAATTACCAGGCCTGCTTGAATAGAACTTTCAAATTATATCTAACAACAACTGAGCTTCTAGTACTCAAAACACATGTCTAAGAGAAAGTACATCATATCAAATCAACTTTTAAAATTGTGTCATGGATAGAAGGCAATTGAAAATGTTTAAGCTATTTTCATATGTTGACACTGGATTAAAATTATTACAACTAAATGGCCCTATTGTTCCAGGTACCTTAACATTAAGCTGCATCTGACTGGCATTTACATTTGCAAGACCCAAGGATATAGTTATGTGGACAACAGCCCAGTCAATACATATAGAGAAAAGTTACTTCAGATCTGATTAGATCTTTAGTAACCTTGATCTTTCCAGAAGGATAAACTTTAATAATGTGAGTTTGGGGAAGTTCTATCAAGGCTAAACATTCCAATTAAAATTCATCATGTGTTCTAACTCAGAATGAAACTTGTTTAAAAGTGTTAGATAGTTGGACTCATCAGCGTCAGGTATTTACTTCATTCAAAAAGGTAAAAACCCCACTTACATAGGCTAGAATTTTATATAATCTCCAATTTGGATTATACAGGTTCCATATAATTACAATAACATGCTCTACAAAAATATCAGACATTTTGTGCATAAAAATGAATAACTTTAAATAGAGAAGCAACTAATTGGAGATTAACCTAAGAAAAACTGCTAAGAGTCCGTAACAATTACATTCTTCTCAATTATCAATATTATTCTAGAGTTAAAGACACTCACTTTCTTTAAACTCATAAACACTGTAAAAAGAAAAAAAAAATAAGTAATGAAAAAAGGAAAACCACAGTACCAATATAACTACACAAAAATGCAAACAGATTCAGAATCCACACTGTTTCCTTGGATTCCAAAACACACCACTGACCTTTTCATGGTCCGAAGGATCTTGAACTACAAGATCTGCTATGGAGCCTACACATCACTGTGTAGATTATGAAACATATTTATTCATGCCTTAACAAAAAGAACACTGAGAACCATCATTAATAACAGTCTACAGTCCAAATTCACAACTCACTTACTTATCTTCCACTGATTTGAGAACTAAGAGAAGTTGGCTCTCTGGATGTTAGCAGCCAATTTGGAGATAATCAAACGGTTGTTTTGCCTCATTTTTTGTTTTGGAACTGTAGTTTTAACTTTACATTCACTTTCAATACAGAAATTTGCTTCCTTAAACATGCGCCGGTTTCAGTCCAGGTCAGCAGATTATAAGGCTGCCTAAACTGCCAAAGCAGCAATCTGTGTCTACTCTGAGCCTGTCTCCCTCTAAAGCCTACCTACCCTAGCCTACCTTCCTGGAACAGGGGCCTGTATAACCCCAGAATGACTCCTCTATGGTTTTATTAAGAAGAGAAAGTGAACTCTTTCAAAACTAGACAAGCCGCACTCTCAAACAAGCAAAATCAAAATCAGCAACTGACTTGTTCAAAACTTCAGAGTCTTCTTTTAAAGACTTCTCCTTGATTCCTTGAGGATTTTTAGAGATGACGACTAAAGGAAAAACATGACATGGGCAAGATTTGTGTTTCAAGGGCGATTCTACATAAAACTAAGTGAACTTTTGTTTTCAAGACGATTCTAATGTGCCTCACTTTTAAAACACGTAGTATTTATTCTTTTGAAAAAATCGGTAAAGCAAGCCCCCAGGATTTAAAAAAAAAAAAAGGCCTAAAAGGTATGTGAAAGATAAGTCTCCCTCCTCACCGTCTCATTTGCTCCCCAACCCCCTTCCCGGGACAACTGTTGTTTCTCAGGAACCCTGCCCTAGCCATTCTATGCACATGCAAACATAAGCGAGTGTTTTAAACCAATTATGCCACATTATACACACAGTGGCAGCTCCACAATTGCTGTTAAACGCCTCCGGGCTTAAAGGTGGCAATCTGCTGAGGGGTGTGGGGTGGGAAGAAGGAGACTCGTCTTGATGCTGCGGTTTTGCTTACCAGGCACCCTATTTCCACTTCGTGTTTTTGCTAGCATGTCTTTACAAGGCTCTCGGAGATCGGGGAGAAGGTAAACCCACCAAAGCCACCCCCGGGCACTGCCACGATCGCCACCCTACTCTGCACGTTTCTGTCTCAATCTATAAAGTATATTCTATACTTTAACGGTGTTAAATCGACTCACTTTCAAAAAAGAAAAAGGAGAAAAAAAGCCTAACTGAAGGTAACTTTGAGAACCAGGTGATTTCAGAACCAGGTGATTTCCGAACCAGGTGATTTCCTCCCTGCCAAACGTGCAGCCTCTGCAGCCTGCTTGGATCGTGTCCTTAGGAAGGGTTCAGCCTGGCAAGGGATTAGAGGTGCAAGCCAGGAACAAGGAAGCCCCAAGACGGGAGACCGAGGTGAGGGCGTCCTGAGCCCGGGGCCCGCTTTTTTTTCTAGACGAATGTTTCCAAGCAGATGCCCCAAGTCCTCGGGCCCCCCTCTCTCCTGGGGATGCTCCAGCACTGGGACCGAGTTCCAGCTGGCGCCTGTGTCCCGGGCCGCAACTTCAGTTCCGCGCTCCGGGCGCAACCGGACCCCCACGATCTGCAGGAACCAGGTCCCCTCCGCTCGCCTTCCCAGAGCCTCGCGGCGACGCCTGACACCCCAGGAGGGCAGGACTCCGGGCAGTCTCCAGGCTCCTGTCCCCAACCCCGCCCGGGCCTCCCGCCCGCCCGGGTCCCCGCGTGCCCCTGGGTGAAGGCAGCCACAGGTAGGGGGGCGGCGCGGCGCTCACCTGCGCAGGAGCGGAGTCCTCGGCGCCTGCGGGAGAGGAGGAGGCAGAGGAGGCCATGTTGTGGGGCCGCTGCTGCTGATCCTTCCAGGAACTCCGGTCTCTCCTCCCGGTCCCGCTCCTCCGGCCCCCAGACGTGGGACTTCTTGGGGAAAAGTTCGGCCGCGGCTCAGGAACGCCAAGCGCGGCCCCGCGACGCCCGCCCCGCGCGGCGCCTCCTCCTCCTGCTGCTGTGTCCGCGGCGACCGCCAGGTGCCAGCGCGGGCCGGTGAGCGGGGGGCGGGCCCGGCCCAGGTAGAGGTGCTGCTGGGCCGGAGGCCGAGGCTGCGGGGCTCCCAGCTCCCTGCGATCACACCCAGTGGGCCGGTGCCCAGGGGCCAGGGGCCAGGGTAAGAGGCGGGTGGCCTCAGGGTGACTAGGGACATCAGAAGCAGCTCCAGGAAGAAAGGGAGGACGAGTCCCCTTTCCTCCGGGCTGCTGAATAGAGTTTCATTAGCCATCTCCGTAATGATAATAAATAATAATAAAATAACATTCTGCGATTTACTGGTGCCTATTAGGGCTTAGGGGAATAAAATCATCGCTAGGCAATTTGGGTTTTGCATTATTATTAATCTGTAGGGCACGATCTATGTAAAAGCAATGTTTGCTGGGCAGGTAGCTTCCAAGCAACGCCCACAGACTGACTCCCTTCCACCCGCCGAGGTCCCGGCAGCACTCAGATTGCTTCAGCAACGTGCCCAATTAAAATATGAAACTCCGGAGCTGTGCGGGGTGTGACGAAGGCACTGAGCCTGATCCGGCAACGGAATGGGGAGCAGGACCTCTGTGTGTCCTTGTTTCCAGGAGCTCTTATGACAAGGGTTTTGCTGCACTCCTTCCTGGACAAGGCCAACGGGATAGGTGGATATCAGGCCGCTGCCCCAAAGAATTTACTATTCTAGTTGGCTTGGAGTGGGGCGAGGGGAGCAATTGCCCTCACTTAATGTCATCTCACTTAAGATCATCTCACTTTGAGTCAGGGAAGATGTGAACAGGGCCAGGGCAGTTAAATGACTATGAATCACATAGTAAGAAACGTATTTCTTTTTGGATTCTCTTTCAGTTCTTCTGCATACAAGGAGAAAGTATTCTCTCTCAAATAGTAAACTCCCTTTTATCAGGAGCAGGCCCCAGGCTCAAAGCCCTAGGTAAGCACTGGTATCTAACTGGAATTTATAACATTGTTTCATTTTCATTGTTTAGTTTCACTGTTTATTGATACTGTTATTTTCCATTTAAGGCAAGTGAAAGCAGTTTTTCTATTTAAGGTAGGGATCCAGAAGTTCTTTCCTAAGCAAGTATGTATGTTTAAAAAATGTTTTAAAAGAGCAATTGTCCAGGTGGGTCTGGGATAAGCACAATTTCAAAAGGTAGGCAGGGGATGACTAAAGTATGGGAAACATGTTTGCCAACAAGTAACAGCTAAATACCGGAATGATTTCATTACCAGAGAACACTGCAGCAAGTTAGCTGTAACTCCCATCTAACACCTTGCTCATTTTCTCTGTAACACACATAAAACTGAAATAACATTTATCGGGCATTAGCTCTGTGTTGGAACCTGTGCTAAGCACTTTATTCATGTTTTCTCATTTAGTCTTCACAAAACCGTTGCAAGACAGGCAGCATAATCTGGAAACTGAACCTCAGAAGCATTATTTAGCCAAGGTCACACACTACTATAGCAACAATAACTCTTTAGGCATTCTTCACATGAGATTTATAAGCAACTTCCGAATTACAAGTTCAAAACCCCTTGAAATTGTATGTAAATTCTGTGTGCTATTTCACAGGGAGAAAGCACATCATTTTCATAACTTTTCAAAAGGATTTGGGTGTCCCCAGAAAGTTAAGAACCACTGTCATCATTACAAGGCTATCCTATGCCCTGGATTTTAAGGTCCACTGGGGCAAAGGTCCTGTTTTTTTCTTTTTCTTTCTTTTTTTCTTTCTCTCTCTCTCTTTCTTTCTTTCTTTTTTGACACAGAGTTTCGCTCTTGTTACCCAGGCTGGAGTGCAATGGCGCGCTCACCGCAACATCCGCCTCCTGGGTTGAAGCAATTCTTCTGCCTCAGCCTCCTGGTAGTTGGGATTACAGGCACGTGCCACCATACCAAGCTAATTTTTTATATTTTTAGTAGTTCACCATGTTGACCAGGATGGTCTCTATCTCTTGACCTCGTGATCCACCCGCCTCGGCCTCCCAAAGTGCTGGGATTACAGGCTTGAGCCACCGCGACCGGCCCCTGTTTTCTTTAACTCTCACTGCGTCTAGCCTAGTTCTCTATCCCTTCAGGCACTCATAAAAATTGGTTGCCCAAATTGAATGTGTGAAGCAGACAATACACACTACAAGGGCCAGGTGTGGGTGGCTTGGGAGGCACATCACCTTGGTAAAGACACAGACAGGTATTTTTACAAGCCAACTCTCTGGCACCGATACAGTCACAAGAGCCATCTTAAACAAGAGGCAAGCAGCCAGCCAGGTAGACAATAGAGGGAGGAAAAAAAAAAAAAAAAAAAAAAAACTCTACAGGAAGTTAGCATAAGGAGCAGCACCTGGGAGAGAAGCCCAGAAAGGGGTACTTCCCTGCAGAGCTATTCCTGGCCAGTCTGTTTATCTGGTCGTCTGTTTCTGAGAAATACTTGTGTTCAGGAGCATCAAAGACACTTCCCCTCCTCCAGAGGCAGGCTGCAACACAGCTGAAAAGCTAACTGCAAGAAGTAACTGACAGTCTGGCAACAACACTCCTACCTTTAAAAACTAAGCCAAAAATCTTTCCTGCAGTCTATGTTTGTCTCTAAGTTTGTCTCCTCTCTGTTTCTCTTTACACAGTCAAGTATCTTAAAGGGACAGTAGTTGACACTGGGGTCCCTATGTTCTCACTTGCACACTCCTTTATTTATAGTCATCAGGCCTCTGCCCTTCCTCAGCTACTGAAACTTCTCTTTTCAGATTATAGTTGATCTCTTTGCTACAGCCATGAAAGTCTTTTCTAGACCCTTATCTAGGTTATTTTTTCAGGAGCACTTGATAGGGCTGACTGTTATCTCCTCCTTAAACGTCTTCTGCCTTATTTCTCATATCATGCTCTCTTTATGATCTTATTCACATTAAGGCTTAGCTATCACATAATGACTCCCAAATCCATCTAAGACAATTTCCCTGAATCCCAAACCCAATTTCATCTCATCCAAAATGGAAAACATCATTTCTCCTTTTCTGCCCCCCAAGACAACAGAATCATGTACTCTACCAATGCTCCCTAGCTTAGCTCCACCAAGCAGCCAAGACCTTGAAGTCGGGGGAGGAGACTCTGCCCCCTACCTCCCAACCCAATCAAATACTGAGTCCTTAAATGTCCCTTCTTATTTATCTCCACCACATCCCTGCCTTTGATTCTCTAAGGGCTATGATTTATTGAGTAATTACTATGTGCCAAACCATGCTAACTTGCATTTTCTCATCATTTCTTACCTGGACAACTTCAATATCCTCCCAATTTTGTGTAGTATATCAGCTCTGTCCAATCTTATGGTTTGTCTAAAATTTCAAATCGGTTCATATGATTATACAGTGTTAAAATATTACTTAGTAGCTCATTCTATCTTTCACCATAAAGGTTAACTCAGCGTGGGTCCTGGTCCACTTCTTCCACTAGATCTCAGTTGCTCTCCATCAGCATTTCCACCTCCATCCCCTTCTCCAACTACTTCGGCAACCCACAGACACAGCTGTTCTGAATTACTTGCAGTTTCCCCCCAAACACCAAGGCCATTGTCTTTCTACAAGCCATTTCCATTTCTTCTGCCTAGAAAATCTTTCTCCCCATCCTCCAGTTCTCTGCTTCACCCATCTTCTCTGCCTGGTTAATTACTATTCATCCATCAAGACTCCACTCAGAAAATACATCTTCAGGGAGGCCTTCCGTGACTCTTTTTCTACTACAGCGTAGTTTGTTGCCCTTTCTTTCTTCTGCCAAAATACCCTGCAGCATAACTCTAACAATTTTGAAGAATATGTTCCCAAACACTTTTTGCAATTCAGAAATCTAAACAATTACAAAAATACAAAAACTAGACACCTAAACAGAATTGACATAAGGGTATTTTTACTCTTTATTCCATTTAGTATGACTAGTTCTATGTTTGAACTATGAGGGACTTCCCCACTTCCTTTTACTGCTGTTATGTGATATAGAGTGCATATGCCATATCACTATTCTCAGAATTCAGAATTGTGAACATATTTGCCTTCAGGGGTTTCAGATAAGGGTTATAGACCTATATAACCATTACTTTCCTTGCTTATGTCCCACTTTAATCATGAGCTTCTAGATGCTTTGACTGTATCTTTTTCATGTCCAAATCACCATGACCTAATGCAGCATCTGGCTCAGTAGAAGTTTGCTGAATAAATTAAGGATATAGTTATGAATTTGGACTGTATTTCATCGAACTGATTCTCAAGGTTGAAACCGAACACCTCCCCTTTCTTCCCAAATGACTGTTCTTCTCCTAGGCTACTATACACCTTGCATACATGTCACATTTATTCCTTCCTTCCTTCCGTCCCTCCCTCCCTCCCTCCCTCCTTTATTTCTTTTTCTTCCTTGTTTCTTTCCCTCCCTCCCTCCCTCCCTTCCTTCCTTCCTTCCTGATGGAGTTTCACTCTTGCTGTCCAGGCTGGAGTGCAATGGTGTGATCTCAGCTCACCACAACTTCTGCCTCCCAGGTTCAAGCAATTCTTCTGCCTCAGCCTCCCAGGTAGCTGGGATCACAGGCATGCACCACCATGCCCAGCTATGCATGTCACATTTCTAACTATAGAATAATTGTTTGCACATCTGTCTTTCCAGGGAGACTGAGCAGGTTGAGAAGAAAGATGATAATATATTTACGGATCTTTGCATTTCTGAGTTTGTGGTGCCTAATATGTCAGGGATATCATATACACTAGGAATCCATTTTGTTAAATGATAGAGGGTAGAAAGGAAGAAGGGAGAGAGAAAGAAATGAAAGGAAGTGTTTTTTCATTTGTTTGTTTAAGATGAAGTCTGGTGGAAGGTGAGTTAATCTCTATTTAGAGAACTGTAACAGTGGGTTCCAAACTCAGTCACTTTATAGCATTTGTTCTTTTTCTTTCTTTTTTTCTTTATTTTTCTTTTCTTTTCTTTTCTTTTTTTTTTTTTGGTCACTGGAGTGCAGTGGTATAATTATAGCTCCCTCAACCTCCTGAGTAGCTAGGACTAACAGCAACATGACACCCCACTCAGGTAATTTTTTTATTTTTCATAAAGACAGAGACTCACTATGTTG